CTTTATCACAACTGCATTCGCTTAGAATTCCAAGAAGTCCATATTCCAGGAAAATCCATATAACTGTTAAAGTTGTACAGCAGTTCCGTAGTCGCGCAGAGCGTCTTATTTTAGCACATACGATTTGATCCGAGGACCAGGAATCAGTACAGGAAGAGTGAGTAGAGGCACTTTGGGTTCCCCAACAGGGACGGGTAGGATCACATTTAGTCGTGAGCGGTGAAAGGTCATAAGTGCCTTGCTGAGACTTTTGATCGTTCACTTTTCACGTTTCGGTCCAAGCGCTTTATACCCTCCACCTTTCTCAGGAAACGATGAGTGAACCTAGAAACTTTCAAAAATTTGAACGGAAATCCACTTAACAGAGGTCTGGGGTGGGGGGATACCCCCTACCCCAGACCTCCGTTAAGCGTTGTTGAAAATTTTTTACCCCAGTGCGCCGCAGCGTGATCTGACTTCTCCCTCTTGCCCTCCCCCACTCCCCAAAAAAAGCATTACGTGAAATCTTTGCAACAGCTCGTTATTAAACGAAGCGTCGGAGCTGTTATATAAAACCAAATTATCTGCATTGTTTGGTCTCTTTCTTGTTCGTGTAATTCCAGTTTCTTCAGCGAAATGTGAAGTTTAACTATCATACTTTTCATTAGAAATAAATTAACACAACGGGCAAGGTGTCGGGAAGGGTGCAAAGGAATCGGGAGGATGACTAAAGCTGTCCAATATGGTGAAACCTCTGAAAAGGCGAGTCTTCCATCTTGATATATCATTGATTCCACTGACAAGACAGAACTTTTCTGCACTTTGCAGAATAGTACGAAACTTCGAATGTCTTCTTGTGAATCATAATGAATCAATTTTTCATTTTGGTAGATTCCTTTCTTAGGACTCATAAAAAGGCCTAGTCATAGCCCAATTTCGAATGTCATGTTTTGTCTTCCCTTCGCAATATGAAGTTTCTTCCTTATAGAAGCCCTTCGTATAATAGGGGTCTGTGGCAAGAAGATCGTAATTCGTCGCACGAGAGGGCGTCGCGTGCGACGTCGCGCCCCTGATGACGACGATTTTGTGTGACTGGTCGAGAACAGACAATATATGGCCGAAAATAGACATAAGTGTCTACCATGTCCTTGTCTACATGAAATCTGATGCTCCAATCGAAAGGGTAGTGCAAACTAAGGAAACGTCGTGCCCACTGCCGCGCGCGACGGAGCGGCATCCTACGATTCTCTTGCCCATCTCCCGTATAATAGCATCTATGGTGTCCTACTACAGTCCGAATGAATAAATCTTGGTCAAAGATTTGATTCAGAAAAGAACAGGCTGAACGCCGGGTAAACATACCCCACCCCCCCCCCCCCCCCATCCATACACAATTCATAGGTCAAGTGCCATTCAAATATCTCAGAGGCAGCGAATGATAGGTCAGTGCGTGGCGTATCTCATTTAGACTTTATTCAGAATTTTATAGTGAGAGATATCTTCCCAAGATAGATGCATTCCACTGTTTTTTGGTCTTCCCGTTCTGCAGTTTCAATGACTGGTGAATAATGGTGATGATTCAGCTCCAGAAAATCTATAAATAGAATGTTTCTAAAAGAAATGCGTTGGCTTGTGATGTTTCGGCAGCGGATAGTAGCCATTAAATAGTGAACGGCTAATTCCATTCAAATTATATTTTGGGAGTTAAATGTCATTTCAGGTCAGACTGTGACGTAGAACACCCGGTGACATCGGTAGTTAATGAGCTGCAGTGGTCGACCCCTACAAGTATGCGTACCTTTCAGGGATGAATCGAAGGGGGGGGGTATGGCGGTGAGGACTATGGCTGTTAGCTCGAATTCCCTCAACAACCGTCTCTCAAACGACCCCTGCAACCTAAATGCAACTTTGCCTACTTTCTTACCTTCTCTTACCTAAAATATTTAGAGATGACCGTTTCATCAGTATACAGGGCAGTAAAATTTCAGTTTGTTCCCTAAATCCATCAACATCCCAGATCATCACGGGTCTAGAGAGGTACCCTTCAAGTAGTGTAGACGGCATCCAACTCACCAAACGAGTTTGGACGTCTATTTATCAATTCTGGTTGGAATTTTCGTTCATAAAAGCAAGCGATCTTCGCAAACCCGATGATGCTTTGTGCAACGAAGGATTGAGAGCTCATCAATAGCACGCAGTTTTTGATAGTTGATTTTTCTTGTTTCAGGACGCTATGAAGGGAGGTCGTATGTGCTCGTCGGGGAGAGGGGGTCGTATTTTCCTCACGGTTTTTTCCGCTTCACATGTGCTGTGCACCCCTGGATGCTCGTTGAGGAAGGAACTGCGGTGGGGGTCGTATCAAGCCACCCATCATGGGGGCGGAGTCGTAGGACTCGACCGAAATTCCTGACTTACGATGTGACCTGTCTCCGTCTGCGTCTACTTGCCTAGCTTAACAGTTCATATCATCACTGGTAACGAGTGTATGCTGAAATGGACATCGATTTTACGCTCGTTTAATCGTTATCCATGTTCGCGCAGTCAACAGTCAAAGGTAAGTGGCACGATAAACCGGCAAGGCGTACAGGGCCGTTACGTCTAGCACGAAAAAATTTTGTCCCCTTAGCAGGGGCTGCGTAGCGCTTTTTTAACCAAGAGCGCCATCCTAGCCCCTCCAGCCGTATCTGTCAAAAAGTTTGTTGGCACAATGACAATGGGAAACTCGTCCGAAAGTGCTCGTCCAATGCCACAAAGAACAAGATTTCTGGCCCTTTAGCTTCGCTTTCTCGGCATTTTCCCACTGCATCGTACCTGTGCTACTATTTCTAAGCAAGCACCAAGTTAGTCGCCTTCAATGTGTTGATAGACAGTTGGCATCATCGCAGTCAGTCGGAGCAATGTCAGGAGGCGTAGTATGAGCTTGCTCCTAGTGGCAGTGGTGATCATTTTGGGAAGAAAATAGACTATTAGAAAACGCCGTGGACGGGATCCTTCCAAGCATGATACTGCCCCGACTGATTGGGACAATACCAGCTGTATAGATAGCAAGATGAGACAAAAACGATGTTACACCGTTTGTCAGAAGGCGGATGAAGGGGTGAAACAACTCCGTAATCGCTTACGCAGTCGCTCGTGAATGACGCCATTTGATGACGATCGCGGAATCAGAGCGATCATCATTCGAATTCCACGGGTTGAAAGGATCTCCTGGACGTTCACCGATACGATGGGCAGACGAAAAAGTTCTGAACGACTGGTGTGAAGTCCGTCGTAATCCGAGCATAGCGAAAAGGCTGGGCAGTTTATCACGTAATATTGACGAATAGGGGCGATATATGTAGTGTCGAAACGAGCACAGGAATTATAAAGCAGAAGGGTTTTTGAAAGGCCCTGATCCGAAATCGCCGCTCTCGAATGTTTGTTGTTCACGCAAAGTAGCAACATTTACAGTCGTGTTCGCTGGGAATGCCGGGGCGTGTCAGGGACGTTATTGGGTGCAGTGCCAGCCCTTTTTGTGCCAATCTTTGTCACTTTAGAGTCGGCGGAGACTAGGCTGGCGCCGTGCCAAACCCAACTGACAAATTCTAGCATCCGTAGCGAACATGACTATATACGTACGTATGTGTCCCCTTCACTGACATGGAACTCAGGTGCTCTACGGAGAGGCGAGTGGAAGAAGCAGTGGTGATCCATCGCTTTTTGTGAAAAGACCTTCAGACGTTTTGCAGAAGGACAGATAAGGGAAAACCTGGTGAGCGTAGGAAGGGGGCCCAGAGGAAGTGCAGGAAAGAGGCATTGCAGTGAAGAGGGTCATTCGCACTGTCATCAAAGGACTCACGTCATCTGGTGCGTCACCTACGAAAATAACATCCTCTTGTCCACCGAACCTTGTGAGCACCATTGATAAGGTAGGCTCTCCAATAAACGGCGCCAATAGGATTGGTCAACGGCAAAAACTTTATCCGTTATCCTTTAACGGTTGTCGTGCACTTTTTTCAAAGTGTTTAGGAAAGAGTCGGAGTGTGGAGGATGCCTTCTTTAGCTCGTGCTGCCCGGATACGGAAGAAGAGTGCTAAAGCAGTACAGGATGCCTGAAATAGTGCCTTTTCGCGCCCCGAGAAAGTGCAGTGAACCTGATAACAAAGGGAATTCGTACGTTACCCTCTCCCCAATGGTCGGAATAAAAAGTGTAGTACGTTCTCGATGACATCACCGCCGGACATATCGTACAACGCGGTACAGTTCCTGATGAGTCAGACGGCGAATGATGGGCTATAACACCGTCCGAAGAAATGTTGATAATCGTTAACGGCCGCGGTCAGTGGAGTAAACATTTCTGCCTTTTTTTATTCCGCTTCGAGGCCAGTATGGCCGGGGACACCACTAAATAGAAAAAGGTTAAACACCACCCCTCCGTAATCCTTTGGGTGAGGGAAAGCAGAAATCCGATCAGCTGTCATATGAACATAGCGAAACTGTGCATCTCCAGCCAGCGGAGAGGAAGTACAGCCTTGTTCGCTGCGCATACCGGGCGTTAAAAATAGGCTAGGTTTGGAGCGGCGCCAGCGCCTTCTCCACCAGCTGTGGTAGCTCAAGCAATCGTGGAGGCTGGCAAGCGACAACAACAGGTCGGGAACGGTCTGCACCGCTCCAAACTCAGCATTCCACCCTTCCCAGACACGTTCCAGCATACATTTCGAACAAGGATATATAGAGCATATAGTACCCGTGAAGCGGTTGAAATAAATGAAAAAGCGTGAAAAATCCCACCAGGCACGTAAAAACTCCGCTTTGGGGATTCCCCTCTGCCTTGGGTGTAGTACGCGGCTAATCATATCACACAGTGCCTGAGTGCTTGTTACATAAATGTTACATAGTAGAGCTCGCTGTTGCCCAGTGACTGATTAAATGACTTTTCATATCGATTAGGGTAGTTAAAGCTGCAAAAACTTGAATGTAATTGCAGTAAGCGCTCTCACAGAAGTGCTTATTCACAGCCATAAGGGAACGTTTTGAGCTGCTTACGAACCTGGCACACAGTGGTAATCAAAATCTGAGGTAAAGGCATAAGGCACCATACGGAGTGTACAGTTTGTATGAAGACATATTTCACAGAAGATGCTCAAAAATAAGATATTACCTTTAGGGGCAGAAGAACCGAGGCGACTTGCTTGTCCTCCAGCTAAAACGATTGCAGCAATTTCACCACGAGAAATCGCTTCCAAACCTGAATGGTAGTCTATTGGTAAAGCCAGCGACTGCACCTCAATACTACTGAACGAACCTTTTCTCCAGTAATGACTTCTTTCCTCCTCTGACAGGTTTTTGAACACTATATGGTGACTATCCGGAACAGGCGTCAGATTATCCGGGCTGGCTGTGTAAACGTTAGCAGACGCGTCGAATGCTTTCTTCACAGCGTCAAAATTTATGGATTCGATCTACAAAGAAGAGGTGAGTATATACATAAAACGGACCTCTTGAATCTGAAGCCGTGGTGGACTACACTACGGCCAAGGCTGTTGGTGGGATCACTTGGAGAACATCATCGTCATCACAGGATGTGCAGAAGAATCGTCGGGTCAGGGCACGTCATCAGAATGAAACAGCAGTACCAGTGCGATCCCCTGAGTAAAGTACTGATATCAGATTGTTGGGCCCCGTTCATACCTAACGCCATTGAGCGGAGAATTTGCAGTCTTATTCGCTGCGGATGCTGGGGCGTGTCAGGGGAGTGTGTGGTCTGATTCGCCACGGAATCATCTAAATCTGCACCAACTGCTGTCGCTTGCCCTTTCCAACAGTTGGGCTAGAACAGGCTGGCGCCGTTCCAAACCCAGTCCCCCAGTATACGGTTTCTCCGGGGTTACAGACAGTGAACACTGAGTGGTGAACTGACACAAACTTCGTCATAAATGTATGCCACTATCCTATTGGAGAGTCTCTGTCCCTATCTACTCGTATAGCTGTGGCCCATCTCATAATGCCGTCCAGTGGTTTTCCGAGTTACAAATATTGGGTTGGCCCATAAGTGATGGCGTTTTTTCCTTTGAAAAAACAATTTTTTATATGAAAAGTGAAAATCGTCTCCAATGCGTTCTACTGACCGTGCTACTCGATAGATAGTTTTCCGCTTTCACGATTGCCTTCCTACCTTTTCTTGGTTTCTCTCGATTTTCCTCCATTGAAACGGAGTATCGGGTCGACACAAAAGTGAGTTTTCGATAACTACTTTTCGCACTTTACGACAACTTGAAGTTGATACAAGCGATCAAGAGATGGGAATTCGGACCTTGTAAATGTGCAACGCATGGGGGCCCTCTTGGGGAGCGACTGCCTGCAGAACCTACCTACTAACTTTCGAACGTCTAACATCAACTGTGGTGATGCTTGATAATGATTAGGAAGAATTCCATGACCTCTGAACAATTCCCCATTCTTTGGCATGAAATTTCATGAATAAGGTGATTCACTAAGCTCTCAGTTGAACAGAGTAGGGCATTAGGTTCAACGCTTGAGGTCGGAATCAAAATCTTCCAATCACGTAAACTATTATAAGAATCTCAGAGAGACGTAGCTTTCCGGCCATATACTCAGCAACTGGACCTGTGCGGTTCCAGCTTTTTAATCAGAGGTAAAAGAGAGAAACTGTCGAAGTATAAAGTATAGGTTGGAAAGAAAGTCCTGTCAGTGTTTTTTTGAATAGCTTACAGCTTTTGCCCCACAAAGTGGAAGACTTCACCGTTCTCTAAGCTGATCCAGAGCCTACCACCCGCAGTCTTGCGGCAAGACTCGGGTGTACCTAACTGACAGTAGTCATCTGTAAGCCCTTGGCTATCGAAAAGTACTGGCTCGATGGATCACTCATACCATGACGGATGGCACGCTGTGCACCCGGGTACCCCTTGGTCAGTCTCCCCTTCTCCGCCCTCGTCAGAAGGAGTTTTAGGAGACTGCTTAGTGGAGATGAGAGATGGGTCCTCTGTGATTTCAATCCACACAGTACCGTGTGTCTCTCTCAAGGAGAAGACCCATCCTAGCAGTCCAAACCGGGCATGCATTCCGAGAAGGTTTTCCTGTGCTGCTCCTGGGACGCGAGGGGAATGCTGCACAACGAGCTTCCCTGTAATGTACGGTCACCGCTACCATTTGTGCCGCTTAGCTCCAGAAACCCGTGGAAACTGTTGGAGAAAAATGAGCGAGACCCCCCCCGAGACTTAGCTTCCGACATCTCGCTCCTGAGGGTGCGAGACCCATACTGCTGTGGAGATCTACCAAATATTTGAGAAGCAAGGTTGGGAGACCATACCCCGCTCATCACATTCTCCTGACATAGGTCCCTACGACTGCCACATGCTCCGTCTCCTTAAGGCTTTCTAAGCTAAGAAAACTGTCAGCAAGTTTGATACCAATCGAGAAGGCCGCCCAACTGAGACTCGACTCGCAGCACCTCCCACCTCCGCGCACCCCCCGGAGAGGGGGATTACCTGCCCATTAGGTGGAGCACTGTAGTGGCTAACAATGACGAGTATATTGTTGATTAATTTCCATTGTATGTTGAGTTAGAAAATAAAAGAAAAAAGTCACAACAGTGACAGGACTTTCCTCCCAACCTAATATAAACTCAATGGCAAAACCTTTTCATCTCTAGCGCAATATTTCGAGTAAGGTAAAAACGCCTCTGCTCAAGGGCAGACCCAATATTTGAAAGTGCCTACCGTAATATCCACACAACAAGCTAGGATACATGGCTTTTTCAAAATTCGAACCTGCTTTGCTAGCGATTCCCTTTCATCTTCGGTTAGTTCATCCCAGAATTGAAGAAGATGCTTTTGTGATCCCACTCGTTCCAGCAACACCTCATACGACATTCTGAAAAACATACCGTATGCTAACACTCTCTTTGCGAAGAATACCATCATGCAACGAGCATCAAGTATACAAATAGTAAATATCAAGGAATGAAGACGGTGGTGACTGCCAAGAGAAACCGATCCCAAAACGGCTCCCGAAAACTGAACGCGTGATCTGTTCGGCAAAAGTCGACAACTATTATCGATAGTCACCAAAACATTGGCGATCATGACAGGTCATCTTTGAATGCACTTTAGTGAAAATGTTCCAAAGTTCAAGTTTTTCTTTTCTTAAACTTTGGTAGCCCTTTCGCAAATTTCTTCTCGAATCATTCGAATCAGCTGTAGAATCAAAAAGAAAAGTGAAAAGTGCTGTTGGTGAATGAGCTATTCTAAAGCGATCAGAAGAATGGAGCCTCCATGTTCTGATCCTTCGATTAGACTCGATCTGGTCAAAGATAATAACTATCTATTAGAGGTAAAACGGCGGTCACACATCAAGAAAACAGGTAAGATTCCGAATGGAATACTCACGATGACTTTCATTCGTAAAAGTCTAGGAATGTGCAATCCGCTCAACCTTCAAAGCGTCATGGTATCAGTTAAGGGCACATTCCGCGATCGCAAGTTGCAGGAGGGTCAGGGTACTGCTCTCCAGTTTTTCGATTGGCCTGATTAACAATACATCTCATGTCCAGGAGATAAGGAGGGTGTGGCTGCGTGCTCCACTCTGATGTAGCAGCAGTGCGCTTTTGAAGGGACACTGCCGTATTTGAAGAATTGTATTCAGATATTTGTCCAGTGCAAGACACGCTAACCGTCGTCTCAAATAGAAATATCCCACAAAAAACTCTGGTTCAAGCGAAGTGCGCAGCCACGCTCTATCCATCTCCAGGATTTGAACTGTACGTGGTCTCGCGTTATTGTGACGGAGCAGAAAAGAAGAGGGGTGCAGAACGGAAATGTACATGCTAGATTCACAATCAATGGGAAACGCAGAAGAAATCTAGGCCCAGTTCAGCTCGGTGGGGGTACCGCAAAGGTAGTCAGCTATGCTTGTGCGGGCAACCTCCGGAAGATTGTAAATCTCCGTGACCAAACTGGCTCAATCGCACTATTTCGCAGCTTCACAAGAGTCTGCAGATACTGTTACTGCTTAAATGTGACACAAAAAAGGTAGTCAAAATGTAGGTTGCACCCCCACCCCTCCACTATGCCGAACAGCGCCGAAAACTGAATATAATGAATAACACAAATAGGGTCCCAAAATGTTCACTACACAAGAGCTCAAAAGCGACAGAAGAACTCGAACATCTCTAGCATGTTTCCCGATGTTTCGCTGCCTAGCACATTTTTCAGGGATTTTTGAGTTTCTTTTGAAACTTTTGACTTCTTGTCCAAAAACATTTTAGGAGTTTATTCGTCTTTTTCGCAACATTCCAATCAGGTATCTCGAAATCCCTGAGATCGGGTAGGCGTGGCTGCATTCTTCAACTTAACCTGAAGGTGTCTCTTCTGGTGGAATATTTCCATCTTGACACAATCTGTTGTCGTGTCTCTGTCAAGATGACAGTTGTCCCAGACTGGAATATTCCACGAGTAACCAGTTCCGTGCCATGTTCAAATGCCACGCCTACTCTGACTCAGGGATAAGGAGTGTACGTTGTATGTTGGTGATCCCCAGGGTGGTCATATTCAGTCGGTCCCTATTTACTATTGAGGGAAATATTTCGATTGATGGCTTTTCTTGTTTTTCCTATCTATACACACCTTACCAGGAGTCCGCCAACTTACCATGGAACTTTGAATGGAGAACTGGGTCTATAAGGTTATATACAAATATAGATAGCAAAACTGCAGCCTGCATTTCACAAGGAACTTA